AGCTGGGATTTTTGCCCAATATGCACAATCTGGGTTTTAATCATCTTCCAGTAAATGTGGTTGAGCAAATGGGCTTGCAGATTGGATGCAGGTTGCAAATGTTCACATAATCTTACATTTTACCACTTAAAATGAAATATATATGTATATATATATATATATATGACTGTGTTTTCCAAGGGAGATACCCTTTAAAATCATCAACCCAAATGATTAATGAATTGAATGGTATCTCCTCTGTGTGTGTGTGTGTGTGTGTGTGTGTGTAATGTGTGTTGTTGTTATCCTTCTTTAATTCACTTTAAATGAGAATGTGTCATTGGTTTTCACTCAGCCTGCTGCTGTTCAAAATAAAAGCCATGTGCTAACTGAAAACACCCTTGACTGGCCAATTCTGCTGAAAGGAGCTGACCTTTGTTTTCCTGTGCCCCTGGAAGCAAAGGTTAGAGTGGACTCGGCCATCGATGGATAAAGGCAGCTGATTAGATCATCACCTCCGAGATGCTCCATTGAAAGATGCATCAAGGACTTCCGGAGGCTGGTCTCTTCCAGGCAGAAGCCATTTGTATCCGATGACAGTGGGGCGATTGCATAGAAGAGGTCAACCTCAAGTGAGGTCACCAAATGACCAGCAGGGGAGGGGGGAAGAAAGGATGGCCGCTTGGGGCCTGAACTGGAGGAGAATCTTTTGGACAATCTGGAGGTAGGCCTAATCACCTGTTAATGTGTTGCTGGTCAAGCTGCTGTGGACATCACAACCGGCATAATGGTTGACCCCCCCCCCCTTGTGCCTGAAAGAAGGATGAGCAGGGACAGAAAAGGGGGGCAGTTGGATTGGGAAGCTGGACTGGTCTGTTATGATGAGGAGGGAAAGCAGATACTTGAAAAGGAGAAAGAGAATTGTAGCAAAAGTCTTGGATGGACAGTAAGCGTATTCAGCATTTTTCCCAGGGTCCAAAATATCTCAAATATATCATCTCAGTAAAACTTATCACAGTTCTGCCAAGCAGAAGAGTGTCAAAGCCAAAGGCAACTTTTACACCACTGTAAATATTTAGGCTGCAATTTCACTCCCCTGCAGTCCTTTTGCTGACCTAATGCCGCAAATGAGATCTCCCAGGGGTGCTCACACAAGTTGCAGAAAGCTCAGTTGGTCTTACTCTTGAGAAAGTGTGCATCTGCTCTGCATCTTCAGTTCCCTGGGCTGAGTGTCCTTCCTTGGGCCGGTTCAGGGGTCTGCAGGAGGGTCAAAAAAGTCACAATGGCAGCCACAACCATGTGATGCATGTAAAAAAGGGGTGGGGCTTCAGTTCCATGGTCGTGGCCACCATCTTGACCCTCCTGGACCAGTTGCCTGCTGATGGCTCCAGCTTTCCAACCCCAGAGTTTCTTGCTCCATCTTGGCCCTCTTCCCATGAAAGGAGGCAGCTCTCTGAGCCCAGGACCCTTCTCAGACCAAAGATGCCCCTCACCTTTGGGGCACCCTCCCTACATGGCTAGAGATGGGGAAATCTGCTGTGGGGCCCTTTTTCTCCCAGATAATGTGGTGTAGATGATGGAAGCAATAGTCCAACCCCTCTGGAAGGGGTCAAATCAGAAAAGGTTGCTTTAGGGCCTTGGGAGTTTCTTCTCGCCTTTTTGTCAATAGTTAGCCAGAAATCTCACCCTTACCCCTTTCCCCCAAATTCCCCAGGGCCTTTGTGACTGTGATTTGAGGACCGAGAAGGAATGCTAGGCATTGTATTCTCACTGCATTCAATACACAATACGCTTTGCCTGGTGGCTGAATTCACTCACTTTGTGGGTTCACACAGTGCACTGATCCATAAGGTAGCCAAAAGGGCTGGACTGCACATCAGCTGAAACACCAAAAACATGACCACAATTAACACTAAACAAGCTTCACATGTTGGGGGAATGCATCTGCTCAAACTGACTTGGTTCAAACAACTGTGGGAACAGATCCTCTCTCTTTTAGAGACATGTGGCTGCAAAACTGCATCTGGGAGGGAGCCAGGGGGACTGCCATAGACACAAGACCCTAATGGGTTCTTTATTGTTCCCCCTTTATTCATTTCCACCCTCTCCCTAACCTATTGTGGCCCTCCTTTTTTCTCTCAGTCTTCTGAGATTTAAGGGGCACTGTCCTAAAATCCTGAAATAGTGGTGGTCAGTCCTAGGTCCTTTCAACCAATAATACTAACAATAAAAATAGCAAAAACAAAAGCAACGATTAAGGATTTGTAGCTGTGTGGACATTTGTCTATGAAACATTCAGGGTTGCCCACTGATATATAAATGATTTCATATTATTCTTGACATTGTTCACACTGAACTGGCATTTCCTCCTTCAATGCCCGTTGACCCGTTTAAACACAGACAGCGTCATTTACAAAGTCCACCACTGCAAGGCCCCGCCCTACATTGGCATCAATTCCCATTCTGGATGTTTTGTTGGAGAGTCAAATTTACTAATCTGAGCTGGGGGTGTAAACACTGGAATCTGGATTTAATTCACCTTGATGAAGGACTGCATTGCTTCCTTATACTATACATAATATATATATTCCTTATTTTTCTCTCTTTTCTCAATAAAACCGAGTTGCTTTTACTGACCTCGATTTAGGACGGGAGCTGGTTGCAAAGCCACTCAAGTGGTTTATGGATCGAGTGTATTGCAGCGGTGGACAGGGTGGGGGAGGGAGAAGAAGAAACTTTCTTCCCCATCTCAAACTCTTGGACATTCTCAGTTCACTAGAACATTACATATTTCAGCCCAAATGATCATCGCATAGTGACCTCAATCTTTGGATCATGTACTATAGGAAGGGAGGGAGGTAAAGTCAGATCATCAAGGCATTTTGGATGTAGAAATTTAATGCCGTGTCCAAGGTCTCCATTGGGACAATCGAAAGTTATTCCAAACATCTTCCAAATGTCTTCCTAAAAATTATTAGTCTTGGGACCTGAGGAAGGAAGGAAGGAAGGAAGATTTGTTTGCTCGGTTTTATTTCTCTAAATGCAAAACTTTTCTCGCAAAGCCAACATTGGTTTCTCCTCCATCATCCTCAACATCTTCATCTTCATGTTCTTCTTCATCTTCAAAATTATATTGGTTCTTTTTTACTTCTGGTGCAGGGAAAGAAAAGAAAGTGATTTTCTCCTCAAACGGCGATCCCCGAAGGATCTCTCTTCTGCCCACTTGGAGACACTTCCGCTTTCGGGAAGTTAAATTGGTCCCTTTGACAATCGGCAGCAACTTTTGCCTTTCTTTTGAAAGGACAACAAAAAGATTTCACGTCCAACTTGACCAGAACAATGAAACCTCACGCCGGTTTGCTTCTCATAGGCATACACACGCACATACACACACCCCTAAAGTGAGGGGGGAATCAGAGAACTAAATTTTATACACACTATTTTTTGTGGGGGGTGGAGTGTCCTATTGACATCAGAGGACAAGATATTAGCAAGGGAGAAAATGTACAAGCTCAATATAATATAATATAATATAATATAATATAATATAATATAATATAATATAATATAATA